AATTGCTTGACAAGCACATGCTGTTGCAGCAACATATTCTGCTTCGGTAGTTGATAGGGTGACTATCTCTTGTTTCTTTGATGACCATGAGATGGCTCCAGAGCCCAGCATAAAGACATAGCCAGAAGTACTCTTTCTATCATCAATATCTCCAGCATAATCACTATCTGTATAGCCAATCAGATCCGAATTTTCTCCCTTCTTGTAGAAAATTCCAAAACTAGTAGTACCTCGCAAGTACCTGAGAATTCTCTTTGCAGCCAAGAGATGACTCTCCTTAGGATTTTCCATATACCTGCTGATCAAACTTACAGCATGCATGATATCAGGCCTTGTTCCTGTTAAATACATCAGACTCCCCACGATTTGCTTGTAAAGTTGGCTGTCAACCTTCTTTTCATCCGAATTTCGAACAAGTTTCAAGCCTACTTCAGTAGGTGTAGCAGCACAATTGCAATTTGACATCTGAAATCTGTTCAGAATCTCTTGCACATACTTCTTTTGTGAGATAAAAATGCCAGCTTTTGATTGCACTACTTCTATGCCGAGAAAATAATGCATCTTCCCTAAATCAGACATATCAAATTCCAACATCATAGATTGCTTGAACCTTTCAAACATGCTGAAATCGTTCCCTGTATATATCAAATCATCCACATACAAGCACACGATCAACAATTTTCTTCCTTCCCCACTTTTCACAAAAAGTGTGTGTTCAAAAGGACATTTCTCAAACCCTTCCTTCAGGAAGTAAGCTTCAATTCTACTGTACCAAGCGCGTGGTGCTTGTTTTAATCCATACAAAGCCTTCTTTAGTCTGTAGACTTTGTGCTCACATCCAAACTTCATGTATCCAGGAGGTTGATCAATGAACACCTGCTCCTTCAAATCACCATGTAAAAATGCTGATTTTACATCCAATTGGAAGATGGGCCATGAATTTTGTGCAGCTACAGCAACCACCATTCTAATTGTATCATGTCTTGCAACTGGAGCAAATACTTCAGTATAGTCCACCCCAAACTCTTGCTTGTAACCTTTAGCGACAAGTCGTGCCTTGTACTTGTCAACTTCTCCATCTTCCTTGAATTTTGTCTTATACACCCATTTCACACCAATTGTCTTTTGCCTTTGTGGAAGATCAACCAACTCCCAAGTGTTGTTCTTCTCAATAGAAGCAATTTCTTCATCCATTGCTTTTTTCCACTTTGGTTCCTTAATAGCTTCTTCAAAAACCATGGGATCACAATCCGTAAGAAATGCAAAGTGTGTTAGTTGACATTCTGATTGATTTACTCCAGTCACCTCATAATCAATCATCCAACCAGGTCTTCTTTTATCACGCCGAGGACGAGGTTCTGAAGTTGATGCTGTTGGTGAGCGACTTCTTTTATCACACCGAGGACGAGGTTCTGAAGTTGATGTTGCTGGTGAGCCAAGAGTCTGCACAGAATTATCAGCTGCTGTTTCTGCGGGCTGCTGTTGTGTGGACCGGTGCTGCACACTTGAAGTTTCAGCCTGCTCATCTTCAATTTCATCAAAATCCACCAGTTTCTCTTGATGCACAACAGCACTCTTATTCGCTGCCCAAAAATTTTGTTCATCAAATATCACATCACGGCTAATTATAATCTTCTTGGTGTTAGGATTATAAAGCTTATATGCTTTTGACTGATTACTAATACCAAGAAAAATACACTTCACCCCCTTGTCTTCAAGTTTTGTTCTTCTTTGATCCGGGACATGAGCGTAGGCAACACACCCAAAAATTCTGAGGTGATTGACAGCTGGTTTGTTTCCACTCCATGCCTCCTCAGGAGTCATGTTTTGAACAGAAAAGGTCGGACTTCTATTCAAAATGTGGACGCTCCAATTCACTGCTTCGGGCCAAAAAGTTTTAGAGATTCCACTTCTATTTAGCAAACTTCGAACCATGTTCATAATAGTGCGATTTTTCCGCTCACAAACACCATTTTGCTGAGGTGAATATGCTGCTGTAAGCTGCCTTTGAATTCCATGATTCTCGCAAAACTTTGCGAATTCATGCGACGTATACTCTCCACCACGATCTGTTCGCAGAACCGTAATCACACATCCACTTTCCTTTTCAACAGACACTTTAAATGTCTTGAAAACATCAAATGCTTCAGATTTTTCTTTCAAAAAATACACCCATATCTTCCTACTGTAATCGTCAATGAAAGTAATGAAGTACCGTTTACCTCCATTCGAGATTGGATTTAGAGGGCCACAAATGTCCGAATGAACCACCTCTAGCACTTTCTTGGCTCTGATGGATTTTCCAGATGGAAAAGAGTCTCGATGCTGCTTGCTGACAGCACAATCTTCACAAATCTGAGTTGGAGGTGCGATTTCCGGAAGACCTGTCACCATATTTTTCTGCTGCAGTGTTTTCAATCCTCCAAAATTGAGATGACCATAGCGAAAATGCCATAACCATGTTGAGTCTTGAATCTTTGCTGAAAAACAAGAACCGGTGGATCTATGCAGATTTAACGGAAACAACCGATTATCTGTCATTTTAACTTGAGCAATCAACCCTAATTTTTCGTCTTGAACCCGACAAACACCATTCTTGATCAGAATCTCGTACCCCTTTTCTTGAAGTTGTCCTAGACTAATCAAGTTGGTCTTCAATTCTGGGACAAAGAAGACATCAGAGATCTTGTGACTTTTATTTCCCTTGGCCTTGAAAATAATATTGCCCCTTCCAGCAACATTAATTTTGGAGTTGTCGCCGAATTTGACGGTACTCAGAAAAGACTCATCCAAATCTGAAAATATTGTCTTATCACCGCACATGTGATTGCTGCAACCCGTATCCAAATACCACAGATTATCTGGAGTTTCCTCGGTTACATTGCACACCATCAAGAGAGATTCCTCTTCTTCTCTTTCTGCAAAGTTGGTCCTTTCTCCATTTTGGCAATTCAAGTAAGTTCTACATTCATTCTGATAATGACCATATTTATGACAGCGATAGCACTCAACATTAGATTTTGGGCGAAAATTGTTTGAATGATTACCTCCACGATAGCCCATTCGACCTCTTCCTCTTCCTGAGTTGTCTAAATTCTGGTGGTTGGCGGGATTGTTGCTATGGTTGCTGCTACGACCATTATCGCCTCTACCGTAACCGCCTCGACCTCTTCCTCTGCCCCTGCCCCTGTCTCGGCCTCCTCTAAAATTAGAGGTATTTGAATAAGTCGAGGCTTTAAGTGCTTGCTCCTCTTTGTCTTGTTTGCTGATTTTATTCTCATGAACCAACAAGGAACTTTGCAATTCATCAATCGTGAGTGAATCAATATCTTTGGATTCTTCAATGGAGCAAACAACAAAATTGAACTTAGTTGTCATTGATCTAAGAATCTTCTCAATAATGGTCACATCATCCATCTTGTCTCCATGAATTCTCATTTTGTTGGCGATGATCATCGTTCTTCCAAAGAAATCTGTGACAGACTCATCCGACTTCATGCGTAAAGTCTCAAATTCACTCCGTAGGGCTTGAAGCTGCACTCGTCTTGCCCTAGCGTTCCCTTGAAATTTCTTCTTCATTGAGTCCCAAATCTGTTTGGAGGTTTCTTTGCTGAGAATCGTCTCCAAAGTTGCTCGATCTATGGCCTGAAACAAGTAGTTCTTGGCTTTAAGATCCTTGAGTTTCAGTGCCTCAAATTCTGCCTTCTGCGCATCTGTTTGAACTGCTCCCTTCACAGGCTCTGTAAATCCGGAGTCAACGACTTGCCAATATTCTTTGGATCTCAAGAAATTCTCCATTAACATGCTCCAATGGTCGTAATGACCATCAAAACGAGGAATTGCAGCCTGCACAAAATTCTCATTGGAAGATGCCATCGATGATGTTTTCGCTCAAATCTCACTGTGTTTCACTCAGATTTTTTTTCTTCTAAATGAACCAGCTCTAGATACCACTGTTAACTTAGAGTAGTGAGGCACAGAAAACTGCTGTTTTTATTTATTGATGCGTTAACATAACAAGAATTATAAACTGCTTAATAAGGCTGTAAGCCACTAACAATATATTCCTAAAATTCAGCACCCACTAATTACTCAATCAAATATCCCTAAAGACTAGGACAAACTCAAACAAATCAGTTACCAACATAAATAATATAATAAATTAATATTTCTAATACTAAGCACCATGGCAATTCGGTCTGCCAAATTCATAGACAGAAATACAAAGCTAGATTTATCTTCCTGCCCAAGGATTTCACCCACATGTAAACTTTTATTTACCTGAATGATACTTAATAGAGCATTGTTCAACAGCAGTCCTAAGCTTGTCACAAACATTCTAATAACTCCAATGAATATGAGATTCTACTTTATAAATTCATTCTCATTCACAATCAGGTGATTTGTTTTTGTACAATAAACATATCCTTTTTATTTATTTATGATATATGCAAATTCATGTTATAATTTGTGGGTGTAGGCAATGGGATATGTCAAAGAAATTGCATATGAAGTTATCGGTAGAGAGCTAAGTAGAAAGATGTATTTATGTTCTAGAATAACAATTATACTCACAAGACAAGTTCCTTTGGTTGACATAGAATTCCATGGCGTATTAGATTGACTTGTCATTATTGTTTTGTTGGGCTAATGTAAAAGAATTGCAAGCTATGCTTTAAACTTTTTTGTGAGGATGTATAAGGCAGTTAGGGGAGAGAAAGATTGAACGATTTGAGTTGGGTAGTTTTCTAGACATGTAATTTAGTCAGGAAGGAATGAATTGTATTTCTGTAGATATTAAAAGAATTTTCTCCGTTACGAGACAACCATGATATAATGACTACATATGCAACCAATGCTATTGTTGTAAGTATCAGCTCGCCATCCAGACCAGAGCAAAAAGGTTAGGTCAGGTGCTACACCAAGACTGTTTTTTAAGAGCAGAAAAAAAGTAACTTGCAGAAAGAGGCTCAAAGGGGTTTATCATTGGATCCAAAAAAATGTCAGTTGCAGAAATTGCTTCAAAAGATGTTTATAGGAAAAGAAAAAGTTCTGGACTGTGTCAGTCTGATAGAGTTGCTTGGGAAAGAATGACTGGAATCCAGCAGATGGACAAGAACAACTCCCTTCTGTTTCAATTTCTATGGAATGGATGCTTACACGTGACTCGCTAAAAAACAAAAACATCTTATGTATGTACGTATTCTGTACTGGTTTTATTATTCTCAGTGTTTGTGCTGAACGCTTTATAGGCATTGCTTGCTTTGTGTTTTGATGAGTCAGGCTGTCCTTGGGTTATGCATTAATCAAATGAAGCAATATGTTTGTTGAATTTTTCACTATTCTACCCTTGTTTGAAACCAAAAATTCTATAATATGCATTAATCAAATGAAGCAATATGTTTGTTGAATTTTTCACTATTCTACCCTTGTTTGAAACCAAAAATTCTATAATAGCCCAGTTTGAAAATTATTTATTGGAATGCCCACTCAATGGGCGAAAGGGCGAACTATTGAAAGAAAAAATAGCTTATTTTTCTCTGATTTTATTTATTTATTTAATGATTTATTTATTTAATAAGTTAATGATAAATATAATAATTTTGTTTATTAACAATTTTAATTTTAAATATTAAAATATTAATGTTAATAATTTTTATTATAATTAATAATAATAAAATAAAGTTAATAATTTTTAATAATTTTAATTATAAAATAATAATTAATAATAATTACATTATAAAATTAGATTATAAGAAATGTTAATAATTTTAACATTACAAGATTAAATTACAACAATTCATGATAAATAATTTAATGATAAATATAATAATTTTGTTTATTAACAATTTTAATTTTAAATATTAAAACATTAATGTTAATAATTTTTATTATAATTAATAATAATAAAATAATGTTAATAATTTTTATAATTTTAATTATAAAATAATAATTAATAATAATTACATTATAAAATTAGATTATAAGAAATGTTAATAATTTTAACATTCCAAGATTAAATTATAACAATAAAATTAATTAAACAAAATTATTAACATATATTTAGTAAATCATTAATATATTTAGTAAATCATTAAATATATTTATTAAATATATTTAATAAATCAGTAAATCATTAACATATATTTAGTAAATCATTAATATATTTAGTAAATCATTAAATATATTTATTAAATATATTTAGTAAATCAGTAAATCATTAACATATATTTAATAAATTATTAATATATTTAGTAAATTATTAAATATATCATTAAATTATTTATCATTAACTCATTAAATAAATAAATCATTAAATAAATAAATAAAATCAGAGAAAAAAAAAGGTCATTTTCTCTTTCAATAGTTCGCCCTTTCAGTGGACGAACTTACAAAAGCCATTTTCTCTTTCACCTATTCGCCCTTTCAATGGACGAACTTACAAATGCCATTTTTTTGTTGCACACGTTCGCCCATTCAGTGGACGAGCTTCTACAAAAGTAAGGCATTTCAGTAAATAATTTTCAAAATGGGTTATTATAGAATTTTTGATTTCAAACAAGGGTAAAACAGTGGAAAAATCCTATGTTTGTTTTAGTTGCATATTAAAGTCGACAAGGTCCGTGCCAATTCGTATCGTCGACTTTTTGCTTGTAATTAAAATTAATGTGGTTAGACCTAACTCAACCCTACAAAATCGGTTGGTAGAGTGAAGATTGCCCCCACTTATAAACACATGTTCATGTTATATATTGTCCGATATGAAACTCTTAACAATATCAATGATAGAACATCATCTGCATGTCTTCGTGACAGATTGGTTGGGGAAGAGCGGTATAGCAATTGGAGGCATAAACAAAGGTATAACAATTGCAGGCATATACAGACTAAAGATCAAATTTAAAAATCTTTGAATTGTAAATTATAATTTTTGGTGACAGGCATAAAGTCATATGTAAGATTAGTTAAATTTTTTATTTCTATTTCGTTTAGGGTAAGCTCCTCAATTGTACAAGGTTGATCCTGAAGGTGGCACACCCGTTGATGTTTTACATTTATGAAGTTATGATGATAGTGGTCTAACTAAATATGTTTTCCTGATATATAAGGTCATAAGGCTATCTGATTTATTATCACATGTCTTCCTGTACTCTACTACAAACCTAAATATGTTTATGGTTCGACTTCTGCCTAGTCGAGCTGGTTATATTTTTTTGTATAGCATGCATTTTTTTAACAATGAAAAAAAATAGGATTTTAAGAAACCGTTGGTTTTGGTCAATTCACAGAAACAACATCTAATTATAGGGAACCATTGCTTTGTGAGGATGTAAAAGGAATGGTTCCCGTTGGTTTTGGATCCAAATCCTTCTATAGCTAATTTGGTCAATGTTTTTACAATGCCTGTTGTGTGACGAGGAAGTAGAGACAACTATACATTTGTTCCTTCATTGCAACTTGCAAGTTTAATGTGGGAATTTTTGTAGGGTACTGTTTGTGTAAGATCCGTGTTTTTAGTTTTGCACGTAAATATTGAATAGTTGCAAATTTATTACCAGCCACCAGAAGTAGGGGGCTCAAACACCATGAACTAAATATTATTGGCAATGTTTCTCATGATGTTAGTTACTTGTTTCTCTAAAGATGAACACTTCAATATTCTTAAATTTAATTGAGTGCTATTACTTTCTTCTTCATATTAAATGAGGATATTCAATACCACATTATTTTTTAATATTATTTTATTTTTAAAAAAAATTAAAAGTTTAAATTAATTAACATTAAGAGTATCATGAAGAAGATGATGTAATTTCACATTTACCTTGTCAATGGTTTATTTCGCATTTGCGAAAATTTAAATAAACAAACAAATAAGTTAAAACATGTTGCCCCCACTTCTAAAAACATTATTTCATCACACGATTTTGAAAAAAAGAAATGCAATCTTAAAGAAAGTCAAATATTATAATTCAAAACTTTTTATTTTTTCATGAAGTATTAGCTGAATCTATCAAGTGAGATCAATGTGATATTTTGAAAAGTGAAAACAAGAATTAAAAAAACGACACTTGATGAATTTACTTAATGATGAGATAAATTGAATCTTTCTATTTGGAAATTAAAGAGTGATCTTACCAAACGATCAGAATCTGAGATGGGCCAAAGACAAACGTCTGTGATGCTGGATGCAAAAGAGGAGGAGAGGGTGTACCTGCAAGGCATTCCGATGCTAAAGTAAGAAAACGAGTAAGAGAGCGAGCAAGTATAGAATATGCATTTCTAGGTAAGAGATTATATACTTGACCCTCTCAAGTGAGAGGGTTTTTATGATGCCCCCAGTGCTTGGTCATTGGTCCCTATTTTTGGGGAGAAATAATTATTTCCCGGAGAATAGGTAACTTCCAGAAATAGCCATTGGGACGGCCAGACGTGCCCATAACTAGCCGTTGTGACAAGCAGGGATACAGTTACGGGCACAAGCGTCTTGCCTGTTTCTAGATGGTGGGACCGTGCGTGACATACAGAGATTGATGGGGAGAAGTGTTGTGATTAAGGGTAAATAGGCCAGCTTCCCCTGTGGGAGGGGCAGAAAGGTAAAACTCTCTCCCAACGAGGTTGGACTTGGGCAATTGGGTCGTTTTGGGAGCAGAAGTGGATTGGGCTTGCCCAACCATTGGGCCAGTCTGGAACAGTAGCCCCCTAAGTCGTTGCTACCGAGCATGATAGTGATAACTTAAGGGTTGCCTGCTTCCCGGGAAGAGTCTTCGTACATCTCCTCGTGTTTAGGTGACCACTTGCTCGTGGCCGTGGGGTCGGGGATCTTGAGACCCGGGGAGTCCAACGATTGATGGGATCTGAAGAGAGGGGATGTCATGTGTGTCTCGAACCGTGTGCTGCATTAAATGCGTGATGATGGCTGGGCTAGGGTAATGATGATGCCCTACGCGCGCGTGCCTGGAGCCTGCTTATAAATAGCGAAGAAGTCCGCTCATTCAGAACTTTTACTTCCTTTTTCTATTGTGCTCATTTCTGCAACCGTCATCCGCTACCGTCTACCTTGCTCCGACCACCATACGAGGTTCGACCAGAACCGCATTCCTTCCAGTTCATCTTCCTCGACCACGTAAGTGCCTCTATCCATTGCTTGTTTTCTATTTTTCCTTGTTTAAACGCCTTAGATTGCATGTGGTTAAGATAGAACATCTTAGTTAGGGTGTATATAATGGTGGTGTTAGTGGTAGACAGTGGAACGGCCATCTATCTGCCGCCAGCGGCGTAGTTGGCCCCTTTAAGAGGGCTAAGTTACCAATCATAGATTCAGGTGATCCGTAGTCGCGTCGTTGTTAGGTTATCATGATTTCTGGTGGTTTCCCTAAGAGGCCACTAGGTTCTGTGACCGGGGGCCTATCCCTGAATGCCTTAGGTAGAACAGTCGGGGACTTTCCCGCCAGGGTAGTTACGCCATTTGAGTAGGGCTTAGGTCGAGGATGCTCTTCCTCGGTCCTTCGTGCGCCCTTTCACTTGACTAGCATTGGAAGGGTGGATTTGATTTGGCCATCGAATTCACTGTTTTCCTCTGCTTTTTAGGTAAAAGAGATGTCGTGCAGGGAAGGAGAAGATCGCCATAGGGATTCATCCAAGGACAACTCCTCGGAGAGCACAAATACAGATGACAGTTCCTCGTCACCCGAGATTGTGGGGTTGTCAATGGCGTTATCGCTGGTGGACGAGTGGACCGTGGCCGAGCCTATGGAGCACGCGTCCATCTTTTCCTCTTATACTAGGGACACATTTACGACGATGGGACCAGAAGGAGAATGAAAGGTGTATTTCCCTTCTGGAGAAGATCGCATCTCCTCGACTTACGGGGAACGCTTCCCTATGTATGAATACATTTTCAAGGAGATAGGTTTAATGTTGCCCTTCACGGATTTTCTGCGGGTTGTCTTTTCCCATCTTGATCTGGCGCCTTCACAGCTGCATCCGAACTCCCTCGCCTTCATGTGGGCATATGAGTTGGTATGCGAGTATCTGTAGATCGACCCCACCCTTCCACTCTTCTTCATTATTTTCCATCTTCAGCGACAGGTGTTGGGGAAGAGGTTTGCCTAGGTTTCCTTAAAGCAAGGGAGGAAACTGTTCAAACCTTTCTCCGAATCCATCCGGACATTCAAAGAGAGGTTCTATGTGATCGAGCCGGTGTCGGAGGTGGCTACTAATTCGACGTTCGTCTGGGAGGTCTCCACAAATGAGAATGGGGAGGATTTTCTAGATGAGGAGGGCAAGATAGTCGCCTAGATAATTT